TTGGAAGAACAAAGAAGCAGCAGCACATGCAAGCTCAGGTCTTGACAGAATCGTGATGGCTGCCACCTTCATCTGAGGATATTGGACTCTACACTCCTCCAGAGTGAACCCTGGCAGGGATTCTCGAGAACCCTTTGGTCTTGGACTAGGGTGGCAACATTGATCCCTCCTGTTCGGTGGCCTCAGCCTCTTGGACCACACAGCTACTGATTCTTCCAGCTGTCCAGCCTGCAGATGGCCACAGTGGAGTACCCAGCTTCCGGTCACATAAGCCAACCTCACAAGTCCTCCTTGTACAATTAAACTTTCTCCTGATTCTGTTCCTCTAGAGAACCATGACTAATTCACATGGTAGAAATCAAGCAAGTTACATGCATCCTACAGACAAAGGCATGAAGCGAATGTTTCCATTCCAAACGGGAAGAATTGAGGCAAGGAAAGAAGGGCCCGCCCAAACAAAAGACCAAAACTCAGAAGGACAAACACCAAATCCTGTAGCCCCAAGTCAGACATCCAGAGCACCTGGTGGTGAGAACAGTTATGCTGTCCAACAAGCAAAAGTGGCACAAAGTAAATGTGGGTCAGAAGGAACTTTCTCTCTTCACTGATCAAAGCAGAGCACAGTGCTTTGGCGTCATCAAGATGAGTGAATTTGTATGACAGAAATTATACACTTTGAGACCTGATGATGGTTTTCATATTAAGGTGCTGATTTTCCATCCCTCTTCCTCTCAGTAATATATGTGAGCACTGCTCATGAATCTATCTATAGACCCACACGTGACTCAGTGGACCAGATAAAGGGAACCTCTAGTCATCTTCAGCTTTAATCCTTTTCAGATGAGATTGGGCATGTGAAGGATGCTCTGGCCACAGACCTTTTAATTTGTTTGAAATAAGGAAGTACATACCAGCATCTCATAATACAACAGTTGGTATAACTAGTGATATGACTTACATCTATCAGTTCTGACCTCTTTCTTTCACAGGGGTCTTTGCTTATTTAATTGACACTAATTTACTCATATTTGTTGGGTACCATTAGATGTTTCTGTACATATATGCACTTAATAATATTCAAATCAGGGCAAACATACACACACATACAACCTGTAATGTATAATTTTTTTTGATGCTGAAAACAAGGAAACTGATTTTACTTCTTGCACTTTAGAAGTCTTGTTAAGGAAGTCAGATCCTAGGCCAACATGGTGAAGAACTGGGCCTATTTTTTCTTCTATTAGACACAGAGTCTCTGTTCTAGTGCCTAAGTATTGATCCACTTTGAGTTGATTTTTGTGCATGGTTAGAGATAGAGGTTTGATTTTATTTTACTACATATGAATTTCCAGTTTTTCCAGCACCACTTGTTGAATAGGCTATTTTTGTCTCCAGTGAATATTTTTGGCACCCTTGACTAGTATGAGATAATGGTATTTGTGTGGGTTTGTCTCTGTGTCCTCTATTCTGTGCCATAGGTCTACATGTCTCTTTTGGTGCCAATGTCATGACATTTTTGTTACTCTAGCTCTGTTGTATTGAAAGCTTTTTCTCAGCAAAGGAAACAATTAATAACATGAGGAGAGAGTCTACAGATTGGGAGAAAATCTTTACCACATGCATCTCCAATAAAGCATTTATCTTTAGGATATACAAAGAATTCAATAAACTTAAAACCAAAAACGACAATCAATAAATGGGCTAAGGAACTGAACAGATGCTTCACAGAAGAAGAAATACAATTGATCAACAAATATATGAAAAAGTGTTCAACATCTGTAGCAATTAGAGAAATAGAAATCAACACTACTCTCAGATTTCTTTTTTTATTGGTTGTTCAAACCATTGCAAAGCTCTTGCCATATCATATTTCATACATTTGATCCAAGTGGGTTATAACTCCCATTTTTATCCCATATACAGATTGCAGAATCACATCAGTTACACATCCACGTTTTTACATATTGCCATACTAGTGAT